AAAAAAAAAAAGGGGGGGGTACAGAAAGCTGAAATTTCAGTTTTCCATGATTATATTGATGTATTTAATTTACTTCTGTGTTTTCTGTGTATCATTTACTTTCCTTAATAGGAAGTATGGCTTCGAATGAATTACCTTGTTGATTTCAAGCACCACTTCATGCGTCATTTTCCTTATTCTTTACAAGAAACAATCAAGCACAAAAAGAAAGATTTATGCAAAGGGTAAGATTAAAATCAGTGTCATTTTGTCTTTTAATTTTACAAAATAAGTGAGATAGGCATGAGTCAGATGCCTTATCCAGTGTTAAGCCTTTAACATTAAAGGGATATTTTGTTTTTAATGGTGTGTTTTTTTTTTAAAAAAAAGTCTGTAGGGAAGTTTTTTTTACATGATGACAGTTATTGAATTGAGACGCTTTGATTATACTTTTAAAAATATAGTATAGGAAGTTCTCTGAATGTTCTCCTGTAAGAAAAAAAGTGCTCTCCAAGAGAAATGAAAGTATTTCTTTGAACACTTGTTCTGGACTGTTGTGTGTTAGCTTGTGTTTTGCCTGTGCTTGTTGTTGGTTTGTGTTAGTCTCCTGTGGTGGTTCTCATATTTCTGGATACTTTCTTTAGCTTAATGCTGCACCACATCAGAACATAGCTGAATAAACAGGCTTTAACTTCATCTGTTCTTCTGCAGTCGTATTAGAGGGCTGGATGCATAAAGCAAGGAGGGGCGATGAGTCAAATGGTTTGTCCTCTTCATAGCCAGAGAACAGAGCTAGAACAGAGAAGCCAAACCCTTGCATTCCTCTTCACTAGTGAGCTGGCATGAATTTTGCTCTGGTTCAGGCTAGTAATGGATCATCTGCCTGCTCGGCTCCCAGGCACGCGCTGTTTTGGAATCCCAGATGTGGGACAGTAGTGTCCACATGAGGTCTCTTCTGGAGCCCTCGTTTACCCCTGTGGTCCATGTAAAACACTAGCATGTGTACACCGAGTGTGAAAGAGTGAGTGTCTGCTTTGGTTTCAGGTACCTACAAACTGCATCCTTGCAAACTGAGCTTGTGATAGTAGAACCTCTTAGCAGAACTAAGGGGCCTCTGTGCTGCCCCTGTATTTGTTACTGAAATCCTGTTTGATAATCTGAGTTGCATTTTCTCTGCTTGGAAAGGCCCATATGTCAGAAGTATAGCATAACTCTTAGCTGAAAGGGAAGAACTTATATAAATTATATTCATTAAGTTAATAATACTAAGAAGAGTCCTACATTTTCAGGTTTTTACCTGAGCTCCTTTCCTGGAGAATGCAAATCTCAAAATTAAGGCAGGTAATTCAACTATATTTCTTGACTAATAGATACCCCTGACTATAATTGTATCGAACCTTCTCTGCACTGCTTCTACACACTGTTCATTCTTGAAGTAATAATGTGCAAGATTATTTTTATGACTTCTGGAAATTTAACTTCATGCCATGAATATAAGAATAGTTTTCCCTTCTTGCCGTACATAATATCACATAAATGGACTTCTTTGTTCGTGCTGCTTCCTGTTGTCATGTAACAGTATTTTTGAAAGAAGAGGAAAAAGAAGATACTGCAACTAAGCAGTCGTTTCTGCAGAGTACATAGTTGGAATAATTTCCTGGACTTTTTTTTCCTGGTTCAGTCACCTAGAAGTGCTGCTAGACCAGTGTAGGAATGACAAACAGGAATAACCAGCTAGAGAGATGCAATTTAGAGCTTCTGTTATTGCTCCCACTATAAACATGAGAACTTCTCACATCTTGAGGAATAACCTGGATGCTTGCCAAGTGCAGGGAGTCATGGTCAGAATCTAAGCATCTTCATCGTAGAACAAGAAATTGTTGTGGAGGTTTATGAAGAGTAGTCGGCTACTATCATAAATAGATTGCTTAAAAATGTAAATTGAATAGCAAAAGTATTGCCACAAATATTAGTTTTAGTTATGATAGTCTTTGATTGGGTTAAACATTGAGTAATTCTGGACAAAGAGGAGGAAGTACAGGTTCAAAATACTGAATCAGTTTCAGAATACAATGCTTCCTTTTGGAAACAGCAAAAGATGTTCTATTTACTGAATGAATTCTAGTTTCTTAATTTGATATTGTGTATATATGCTTTTTAAGGGCTAAATTGCTTAGAAGCAAACATGTTAGTATTACAAATATGATTTCAGCCTTTTATGTGTAAAATGAGTCTCTATATTAATCCCTTTACTCTTAGTTAAGACCAAACCACAACACTTTGCAGTGTATGCAGGTTTACCTATGACTTTGTGGAGATCTGATTTCCGTTAATGAAACCATATTCTTTTCCCTTTATTGTGCCCAAAACCTTATAAATTAAGAAGTGCTATATCATTTCTACCAGAGTAGCAAACTATTGGAAGTGTAAAATATTTTTTGAATTTTTCTCTTTATTTTCCGTAGGAACAAGTGTTATATGTCATCCTCCAACAATGTAGACCATCTTTTACTGAACTTAACCCTGTGTGACATAATGGTTTCACTGGCAAATGCTTCAACACTGCAGACGGATTCTGGATGGTTAGATATGATAAGGAAATTTGTGACAGATGCTCTTCAGGATGGCAGCAGGTTGAATAGCAAGCAGGTGAACAGATTGCTTGGTGTTACTTGGAGACTAATGCAAATACAGCAAAACAAAGGTAAGATGTGAATAGTTTCTAAAAAGCCAAGGAATTCTGTTAGATTCAAACTGTTGATATGCAAAGCAGCAGTATATTTCTGTACCTGTTTTTCTTAGTTTTTAAGCAGCTGTTACGTATAAGAGGCAAAGAGTTTTCGGGGAGGGGGGAAGACATGCAACTCTCTGTTTTATTAATTGTATGCTAACATTCCACTCCCTTACTTAACATCATTAGCGTAATGCTTGTGTAATGCATTACATCAGTCATGTCTAATGATATTTCTTTGATGACTTGAAATGTCTAGATAGTGCTGATGAAGACTGCTGGAGAAAAATTAATCTTTTCCAAGGGAAAACGTATTT